CGCAGCTAGGTTCAGTGTTTTCCCCGCCCCCCACCCCCAGCTAGGGTTTTCGTTGCTTTCCAGCACCCCTACTTCCCGCGGCTATGGTTCAGTCTGCTTTCCAACAGATACTGGGAGACAAATGTACCTTTCAGCAGGACAATAACCTGAAACACAAGGCCAAATATACACTGGTGTTGGTTACCAAGACGACATTGAATGTTCCTGAGTGACCTAGTTACAGTTGTTGTCACGCCCTGGCTCTGGGGACTCTAGTATGTTGATCCAGGGTGTGAGTTTTCATTTGTGTTCGTTCTAGTATTGTGTTTCTATGTTGGCCAGTGTGGTTCTCAATCAGAGGCAACGTGAATCAGCTGTTGCTTGTTGTCTCTGATTGGGAACCATGCTTAGTCAGCCTGTTTCCCACAGTATGGTGTGGGATCTTGTTCCTTTTGGTTTGTGTTTGTACCGTAGGACTTCACGTATCGTTTGTTGTTTTGTTCGTGTAACATTAATAAAAGCATGTGCCTTGGTCCTCCTCTGTATACGACGATCGTGACAGTTGTGGCTTAAATCAGCATGAAAATTCATGACAAGACTTGAAAATGGCTATCTAGAAATGATTTACATTTTTTACATTTGAGTCATTTAGCAGATGCTCTTATCCAGAGCGACTTACAGTTAGTGAGTGCATACATTTTCATACTGGCCCCCCGTGGGAATCGAACCCACAAGCCTGGCGTTGCAAGCGTCATGCTCTACCAACTGAGCTACACAGGGCCACCATACATAACCTTCCAGTTAGTGGAACTGAAACTACATAAAAAAATAAACAACGTTACCATGACTTATTGAAATCCATTTTTAAACCATGGCTTCTCTCTACTTGTACCACTCTCATGATCAGTAAAACAAAAACCAACAATGACAAAATGGCCAACATTCAACTTAATAAACAGAGCTTGAATAATTGTTTAAAGAATAATGTGCAGATATTGGACAATCCAGGTGTGCAAAGCTCTCAGAGACTTATGCAGAAAGACTCACAGGTGATTCTAACATGTATTGACTCAGGGGTGTGAATACTGTATTTCAGTTTCAATACATTTGCACAAAGTTCTAAAAACATGTTTTCGCTATTGTGTGTAGATTGGTGAGAAAGAAATCTATATAATCAATTTTGAATTTAGGCTGTAACACAATAATATATGGAATAGGTCAAGGGGAATGAATACTTTCTGAAGGCACTGTCATGCTGATTTTACATAATTCTGATCTAACATTTGAATACAGTCAGAATTTGAATAAACAGACACCGGTGCTCCCTGACCCTGACCCTACTTACCTGCATTGTTTCATTGTAATCTGTTGTTGTTTTATAAAGCTTTCGGTTCCTCCTGTTTCCCGGACGGTACTATGACTAAAGGTTTTTCCCTTCCTCTTTCTTCTGACAGAGCTGCTAACTGATGACATCACAGTGGCGATCCGTTGTGCCAAGCGTGTTGTGCTGGACCCGAATGGAATCGGGGCATGGTAAGGTGGCAGGTTTCCCTGAAAGAACTATGTTACAACAAAAATTAAGTTACAAAATAATTAGCCATACTTTATGTTACCTGTAGCCCAATATCACAGTACAAGGCTAGGTATAAATGGGCTAACCTGTAACAAATTAGCTCTCACCTTTTAGAAGACCTAAAATGGTAAGAAATGCCTGTACTGACATACTTGTTACATGGTAATTATATAACTTATATACTCCCTTAAAATGACCCTGAATGAATGCCTGCATAATGTAAACCGTTTCCAAGTCTTCCAATTCCACATGATGTTCTGTTGTCTTATATCTGATATGTAATATCTATAAAGCAAAATATCAACATGATGGTGTGTGTCCATTTTAGGGTGGGTTGGCGCAATCACTGTCAGTATCGGGACCTGAGCTCCTACGTGGCTGGCTGTGGGGTCTAGGATCCTGCTGGAGCTGCTGAACACATCTCAACCCATTCTGAAGCAGACCTAGTTGATAGGATGGATCTGTTCTGGACTATCCATCAGCATCTGCAGCTTTACCTTTAGCTACTACACGTCCACGTATTGAGACATTTTAGATTACAGAGTAGATGTAGTAAATGTTTTTTGTCATACCCGTGGTATACGGTCTGATATACCACGGCTTTCAGCCAATCACCATTCAGGGCTAGAACCACCCAGTTTATAATACGGAGTAGATCACTAATAATCTGTTTTTTTTTAAATGGAATGTGTCATCATATATACTGTTTAATATTACTTCATGTCAAATCAGTAAACAGCTCAACATGCTTAGCCATAAAAATAAAAAAAAGTTCATGTTTTATTTGTTGTTGGTGCTGTTTAGCAATGATATATAATAGAATGGTCTTATTATAGTCAAACTGTCGTGTCATTTATTATTTGTTTATTATTCAGCCAACATCATCATCTCTGAAATGGTGTAGAACAGTATCACCAAAGAAACTAACAGTATCAAAACATACAACAAGCCCATAGCAACAATTCAAATCCTCCAGACAACTCCATCCACTCAAATTCCCATTCAATTTCCAGCTTCACATGGAATCCTTCAAAGGAACGTCAAACATAACCAATATTAAAGGGATAGGTCACTCAAAAACAATATTTTAGTATTTTGATCATAGGTTCACTGTTAATACAATCCCCCAAAAATCCCATTGTGCATGTCAGCAGTCAAGTTTTCAGTACAGAGTAAAAACTGTGATGATGATGTGTTTTGCATCATAACAAGTTTTTGAGTAAAGTGATCCTTTAACATGCTTTTGGTTAAACCATACCAGAAGCTAGGACAGTAAAGGTTGGTTGCGATGCGAGGAGTATCCATCGAGCTCACATTCTGGTCTCCTCTGGTGGTCGATTCATGTAGTCCTGAACAGCTTGATGGTATGGCAGCCATTTCTTTGAGGATGCTTTTATAGACAAGATCCATCTGTGAACATGAACATCAGAATTGAGTAATTACCACAAAGGTATTTACAAACATACAGTATTATGTAATGTTGAAAAGCTGTGCCTTTATTCCTTCCTAAATCAATTTGTTTATTAATCAATGTTTATTTGTCACGTGCACAGGATACAACCCACTGGGCAAAAACGGGTTAAATTAACATTGTTTCTACGTCATTTCAACAACAAAAAACGTTGAATCAATGTGGAAAACTGATTGGATTTGCAAAAAGTCATCAACGTGAGGACGTTTTGTCTTTTGTTCTACCACCTTTTAACCTAAATCCAATGACATGGTGAGATGTTTTGTTGATTTCACGTTGAATTCACATTAGTTGACAACTCAACCAGATGTTAATCAAAACTAGACGTTGAAATGACGTCTGTGCCCAGTGGGAACAGATTTAAACAGTACAGTGAAACGCTTACTTAAAATGTGCCAACATATGTCAAATGTGTCAACATCTCACCGTTTGTTTTCCATGGGGTTTTCAGCACAGAGATAGAAGGTTTTGAACTCATCCGAAGGAGGTTTCAGTTCAATGGTGGATTTCTTGGATCCCAAGGGCTGTTCTCTCACGGTGTACCCATGCAAGTAGATCCCCCCTGGAGGAAGTCATAGATATATTAAAGTATCAAGCAGCAGAACCTTCTAGAGGCAGTCAGATACTGTATATTACAGTATTTAGCAGAGGAGGCTTCGCCAAGGAGTGCAAATAATGTCATTAATGAGTTAAAAAACAAAACCTCACTAATAAGTTACTGACAAAAAATACACCCCCACACTAATTATGATCTCTGACATTGATTTTCATTCTTTGACATATGGGTTAAACAGAATATGGTTTATCATCTATTTATCATATCATCATACATTTATAATGTATCTTTTATCATCAATAACTCCTAATCAATTTTCCTAAACGGACAACACAGATAGTCTCCTCAGTGTCAACATTATCAGGTGAGCCTTGCCATCACAACATACCGAGAGGGTGAGTTGAGCGGAACAACAACATACCGAGAGTGTAATATTGAGCGGATGAACAACATACCGAGAGGGTGAATTGAGCGGATGAACAACATACCGAGAGCGTGAATTGAGCGGATGAACAACATACCCAGAGCGTGAGTTGAGCGGTTGAACAACATACCCAGAGCGTGAGTTGAGCGGATGAACAACATACCCAGAGCGTGAGTTGAGCGGATGAACAACATACCCAGAGCGTGTAATATTGAGCGGATGAACAACATACTGAGAGCGTGAGTTGAGCGGATGAACAACATACCGAGAGTGTAATATTGAGCGGATGAACAACATACCGAGAGCGTGAGTTGAGCGGATGAACAACATACCGAGAGCGTGAGTTGAGCAGATGAACAACATACCCAGAGCGTGAGTTGAGCGGATGAACAACATACCCAGAGCGTGAATTGAGCGGATGAACAACATACCCAGAGCGTCAATTGAGCGGATGAACAACATACCCAGAGCGTGAGTTGAGCGGATGAACAACATACCGAGAGCGTGAGTTGAGCGGATGAACAACATACCGAGAGCGTGAGTTGAGCGGATGAACAACATACCCAGAGCGTGAGTTGAGCGGATGAACAACATACCCAGAGCGTGAGTTGAGCGGATGAACAACATACCCAGAGCGTGAATTGAGCGGATGAACAACATACCGAGAGCGTGAGTCGAGCGGATGAACAACATACCCAGAGCGTGAATTGAGCGGATGAACAACATACCGAGAGCGTGAGTTGAGCGGATGAACAACATACCCAGAGCGTGAATTGAGCGGATGAACAACATACCGAGAGCGTGAGTTGAGCGGATGAACAACATACCCAGAGCGTGAATTGAGCGGATGAACAACATACCGAGAGCGTGAGTTGAGCGGATGAACAACATACCCAGAGCGTGAATTGAGCGGATGAACAACATACCGAGAGCGTGAGTTGAGCGGATGAACAACATACCCAGAGCGTGAATTGAGCGGATGAACAACATACCCAGAGCGTGAATTGAGCGGATGAACAACATACCCAGAGCGTGAATTGAGCGGATGAACAACATACCCAGAGCGTGAATTGAGCGGATGAACAACATACCCAGAGCGTGAGTTGAGCGGATGAACAACATACCCAGAGCGTGAGTTGAGCGGATGAACAACATACCCAGAGCGTGAGTTGAGCGGATGAACAACATACAGAGAGTGTAAAATTGAGCGGATGAACAACATACCCAGAGCGTGAATTGAGCGGATGAACAACATACCGAGAGTGTAATATTGAGCGGATGAACAACATACCCAGAGCGTGAATTGAGCGGATGAACACCATACCCAGAGCGTGAGTTGAGCGGATGAACAACATACCCAGAGCGTGAGTTGAGCGGATGAACAACATACCGAGAGCGTGAGTTGAGCGGATGAACAACATACCGAGAGCGTGAGTTGAGCGGATGAACAACATACCGAGAGTGTAATATTGAGCGGATGAACAACATACCCAGAGCGTGAGTTGAGCGGATGAACAACATACCCAGAGCGTGAGTTGAGCGGATGAACAACATACCCAGAGCGTGAGTTGAGCGGATGAACAACATACCCAGAGCGTGAGTTGAGCGGATGAACAACATACCCAGAGCGTGTAATATTGAGCGGATGAACAACATACCCAGAGCGTGAGTTGAGCGGATGAACAACATACCCAGAGCGTGAGTTGAGCGGATGAACAACATACCCAGAGCGTGTAATATTGAGCGGATGAACAACATACCCAGAGCGTGAGTTGAGCGGATGAACAACATACCCAGAGCGTGAGTTGAGCGGATGCCTGCGTAGAAGTAGAGGCAGCCGTCCTTCAGGGTGCAGTAGTGCTGCACCCACGTGTCCTTGTTATTCTTGTCTACCTGGTGAAGGAGGCCCAGACACTCTGGGTTCTTCACCGCCAGCGGGGGAAGGCTGGCGTTGTGGCGAGTCACATCCACCCACACGTGATTCTGACACATGAGAGGTCAGGGCAGGTTTTAGTCCTATAGGCTATAATCTCAGTGTGGACGACAACATGCCTCATTCATTTGAATAATCCCCCCCCCCCCCCCCCCCCCCCCCCCCCCCCCCCGAAAACCAACTTTGATTATATCCTCCACAGTTAAAAATATGCATGATGAAATGTATTCGTGTATTGTAGAGAGACATAATTTCAAGACAGACTGGATATAAATTCTACATATGTTTAGTGTTTGACAACAATCGTTACCTGTGTAACAGGATGAACAGCTCTGTCCATGGCATCCAACCACCTAAAACATGAAAAACAGCAGGTGAGCAATATCACACATATTTATTACAATAAATAACTCATTAATGGCGCTATATGTACAATTTAGTGCTCTGGTATTTCCTGGTTTCAAAAATGCAAAAATGTTTCAAATCTAATTTCAGTTTGTGACAACAAACAATGTATAGCATAGCCATAGAGAATCATTGTACCCTCTAAACCACTGTGAAATATATTTTCAATAACCCCAAATATTGTATTTTCAGCTGAAAGTAAAAAATAAACAAAAAAACCTATGGAGAATAAGCATAGAAATACGGCACATAGAATGGATCTAGTGCCTTATCAGACTTGCTTTTAATGAGAATGACAGATCTATAATGTGCATTTATATCTGAAATGAGTCTGGTCATACACAAAACGACATAAAAACACTATAAACACTATGCAAGGACTTCTACTCTATGGAGACCTTTTCATCTCCAGGTTGGACGTAGCGCAGAAGTAGTACACTCGGTCGGAAGACAGGGGGCTGCACTTGAACACAAAGGGTTTCCCCAGGGAGGGGTCCCCTCCAACATCTGCCCCCTCTAGTTTAAAAGATGACAGAGCTCTCTTCCTCCCCTCATCCTGTAACATAAATACACTGGCTGTCAGCGGAGATTGTTAGAGTGAAGGAGTGGTGTCTTGAGGATGACTATTAGAGTGAAGGAATGGTGCACTGAGGATGACTATTAGAGTGAAGGAGTGGTGCACCGAGGATGACTATTAGAGTGAAGGAGTGGTGCACTGATGATGACTATTAGAGTGAAGGAGTGGTGCACAGATGATGACTATTAGAGTGAAGGAGTGGTGCACCGAGGATGACTATTAGAGTGAAGGAGTGGTGCACTGAGGATGACTATTAGAGTGAAGGAGTGGTGCACTGATGATGACTATTAGAGTGAAGGAGTAGTGCACCGAGGATGACTATTAGAGTGAAGGAGTGGTGCACCGAGGATGACTATTAGAGTGAAGGAGTGGTGCACCGAGGATGACTATTAGAGTGAAGGAGTGGTGTCTTGAGGATGACTATTAGAGTGAAGGAGTGGTGTCTTGAGGATGACTATTAGAGTGAAGGACTGGTGCATCGAGGATGACTATTAGAATGAAGGACTGGTGTCTTGAGGATGACTATTAGAGTGAAGGAGTGTTGTCTTGAGGATGACTATTAGAGTGAAGGAGTGGTGTCTTGAGGATGACTATTAGAGTGAAGAAGTGGTGCATTGAGGATGACTATTAGAGTGAAGGAGTGGTGTCTCGAGGATGACTATTAGAGTGAAGGAGTGGTGACTCGAGGATGACTATTAGAGTGAAGGAGTGGTGTCTTGAGGATGACTATTAGAGTGAAGGAATGGTGTCTTGAGGATGACTATTATAGTGAAGGAGTGGTGTCTCGAGGATGACTATTAGAGTGAAGAAGTGGTGCATTGAGGATGACTATTAGAGTGAAGGAATGGTGTCTTGAGGATGACTATTAGAGTGAAGAAGTGGTGCATCGAGGATGACTATTAGAGTGAAGGAGTGGTGTCTTGAGGATGACTATTAGAGTGAAGGTGTGGTGTCTTGAGGATGACTATTAGAATGAAGGAGTGGTGTCTTGAGGATGACTATTAGAGTGAAGGAGTGGTGTCTTGAGGATGACTATTATAGTGAAGGAGTGGTGTCTCGAGGATGACTATTAGAGTGAAGGAATGGTGTCTTGAGGATGACTATTATAGTGAAGGAGTGGTGTCTCAAGGATGACTATTAGAGTGAAGGAGTGGTGTCTTGAGGATGACTATTAGAGTGAAGGAGTGGTGTCTTGAGGATGACTATTAGAGTGAAGGAATGGTGTCTCGAGGATGACTATTATAGTGAAGGAGTGGTGTCTCGAGGATGACTATTAGAGTGAAGAAGTGGTGCATTGAGGATGACTATTAGAGTGAAGGAATGGTGTCTTGAGTATGACTATTAGAGTGAAGAAGTGGTGCATTGAGGATGACTATTAGAGTGAAGGAGTGGTGTCTTGAGGATGACTATTAGAGTGAAGGAGTGGTGTCTTGAGGATGACTATTAGAGTGAAGGAGTGGTGTCTTGAGGATGACTATTAGAGTGAAGGAGTGGTGTCTCGAGGATGACTATTAGAGTGAAGAAGTGGTGCATTGAGGATGACTATTAGAGTGAAGGAATGGTGTCTTGAGGATGACTATTAGAGTGAAGAAGTGGTGCATTGAGGATGACTATTAGAGTGAAGGAGTGGTGTCTTGAGGATGACTATTAGAGTGAAGGTGTGGTGTCTTGAGGATGACTATTAGAGTGAAGGACTGGTGCATCGAGGATGACTATTAGAGTGAAGGACTGGTGTCTTGAGGATGACTATTAGAGTGAAGGAGTGGTGTCTTGAGGATGACTATTAGAGTGAAGGACTGGTGTCTCGAGGATGACTATTAGAGTGAAGGGGTGGTGTCTCGAGGATGACTATTAGAGTGAAGGAATGGTGTCTTGAGGATGACTATTATAGTGAAGGAGTGGTGTCTCGAGGATGACTATTAGAGTGAAGGAATGGTGTCTTGAGGATGACTATTATAGTGAAGGAGTGGTGTCTCAAGGATGACTATTAGAGTGAAGGAGTGGTGTCTCGAGGATGACTATTAGAGTGAAGGAGTGGTGTCTTGAGGATGACTATTAGAGTGAAGGAATGGTGTCTTGAGGATGACTATTAGAGTGAAGAAGTGGTGCATTGAGGATGACTATTAGAGTGAAGGAGTGGTGTCTTGAGGATGACTATTAGAGTGAAGGTGTGGTGTCTTGAGGATGACTATTAGAGTGAAGGACTGGTGCATCGAGGATTACTATTAGAGTGAAGGACTGGTGTCTTGAGGATGACTATTAGAGTGAAGGAGTGTTGTCTTGAGGATGACTATTAGAGTGAAGGAGTGGTGTCTCGAGGATGACTATTAGAGTGAAGGGGTGGTGTCTCGAGGATGACTATTAGAGTGAAGGAATGGTGTCTTGAGGATGACTATTATAGTGAAGGCGTGGTGTCTCGAGGATGACTATTAGAGTGAAGGAATGGTGTCTTGAGAATGACTATTATAGTGAAGGAGTGGTGTCTCAAGGATGACTATTAGAGTGAAGGAGTGGTGTCTTGAGGATGACTATTAGAGTGAAGGAGTGGTGTCTTGAGGATGACTATTAGAGTGAAGGAATGGTGTCTCGAGGATGACTATTATAGTGAAGGAGTGGTGTCTCGAGGATGACTATTAGAGTGAAGAAGTGGTGCATTGAGGATGACTATTAGAGTGAAGGAATGGTGTCTTGAGTATGACTATTAGAGTGAAGAAGTGGTGCATCGAGGATGACTATTAGAGTGAAGGAGTGGTGTCTTGAGGATGACTATTAGAGTGAAGGAGTGGTGTCTTGAGGATGACTATTAGAGTGAAGGAGTGGTGTCTTGAGGATGACTATTAGAGTGAAGGAGTGGTGTCTTGAGGATGACTATTAGAGTGAAGGAGTGTTGTCTTGAGGATGACTATTAGAGTGAAGGAATGGTGTCTTGAGGATGACTATTATAGTGTAGGAGTGGTGCACTGAGGATGACTGTTAAGCCATGTTTATCTGGACACATTCATCCACTTAAAGAGAATACCACAATCCACACATTTCATAGTTACTGTAGGCCCTTCAAAGAAAACTAAAATCATATGTAACTTCATGTTAATTGATTTCCAGGCCCAATTCACCTTTTCTAAATGGAACTTATGGGAGAATATTGTTGTGGAAGAAAGTAGGGATAGTTCACATCAAATGTAATGTTGTCATAAAGTGGCATTTACACAATACATAGTGTGGAATATAAAACAGTTTGACTGAAGAGCAATTATGAGTTATGCAAAATGCCTGACAAACTTTGAATTTGAACTGTCCCTTTTAGATCCAAAACAGTAGGGTAGTTTCTCTAAAGAACCATGACGATTTACCAGGATGCTGTGCTCACCTTTTTATGTCTGTAGTAGTATAGGCAGCAGTCATGTCTGAGCACGAACCACCTCCTTCTCCAGCCCTTGATCAGGCCAGACTGGGTGCGTTTATGGAGGTAACCCCGGCAGGTGGGTCTGGGGGTGTTGGGGCCTCGGCCGATGTCTGAACCAATGGTCAGAGTCAGGATGTCTGGGCCTATCAAACACAACAGAATAGGGGATCCCATTCTTAATCACATACTACAAAAAAACTGAACGTGAAAGTGAAGCGTTATCAGAACATGCTGTCCTTTAGGTCCATTTTGGCTTGTGAATAGGTGGTACCTGATGGGTATTACACAGGAGGCTGCTGAGGGGATGACGGCTCATAATAATGGCTGGAACGGAGCAAATGGAATGGCATCAAACACCTGGAATGTATTTGATACCATTCCACAGATTCCGCTCCAGCCATTACCACGAACCCGTCCTCCTCAATTAAGGTGCCACCAACCTCCTGTGGTGCATTATCCTTTATAGCAAATTCTAACTGCATACTTGTGCAGTACCATGACCCGACAGTTAACATGTAGGCATATATTCTTCTTACCTTGTCTTGCCAGGTCAGCTGCCTCAGAGTGGGGGATACTGGTGACATCGATCCCATTCACGGCCATGACGAAATCTCCCACCATTAGCCCCGCCTCCTCGGCTGCTCCATCTGAAACCAGAAGGGAGGCGCTTGGCTTACAGCTGAGCCAGCAAAGATTGGTTTGCTAGATACTGCCAATGAACACTTGCAGTAGTGATAGTATCTGACAAAAAAAACATTAAACCGCTCGGCAATTGCTGCAGTGACACAAAATGTCCACCTTAAAACGAAATATACTAATCAGTCTCTTATAAAAGGTTATCAAATTCTTTGTTGAGCAAACTCTGCATCTTTTTCAAGCAAACAACACAATTGAAAATATTTTCTGAGTAACCTTAGCTGTGCATTTATAAGCATGATACGTTGCACATAGTACAAATATGGTACACAAATGGTCTTACTTGTGTCGACCTCTGTGACCACAATAGGTTTGGAAAACTGTATTCTGAACCCCCAGGGGTACTCTCCCATTCCTTTACAAATCTTGACCGTCCTCTCGCGAACTGCAGAGAGAAGAACCAATTAAGTAAGAATGGTCCATGATAGTTTTCACCTTCAAGAGTTTTATTCAATTGTTGATGACATAAAGGACATTGGTAGTAGTAGTAGTAGTAGTAGTAGTAATAGTAGTAGTAGTAGTAGCAGTAGTAGCAGTAGCAGTAGTAGTAGTAGTTGTTGTAGCAGTAGTAGCAGTAGTATTAGTAGTAGTAGTAGTAGTAGTAGTAGTAGTAGTAGTAGTAGTAGTAGTAGTTGTAGTAGTAGTAGTAGTAGTAGTAGTAGTAGTAGCAGTAGTATTAGTAGTAGTAGTAGTAGTAGTAGTTGTTGTAGCAGTAGTAGTAGTTGTAGGAGTAGTAGTAAAAATATGAAAATGTATGCATTCACTACTGTAAGTCGCTCTGGATAAGAGCGTCTGATAAATGGCTAAAATGTAAATGTAGAAGTAGCATCAGTAGTGGTAGTAGTAGTAGTATTTGTTTTACAAGACATCGGAATTCCGACCATAGATATTTCTGTTGCATTTTCTTGACAGTACAGCGAGAAAGGTAGAGATGGAGACTAATAGTATGGCCATAGACATTGGGTGGCTGACACAGGGCTCAAACCCCTGTCGCCAGGTGGTATATGTCGTCCAGAGTCGGGGGCTTAGAACGCTACACCAAACTCTGGCATGTTGTTCTTTTCTTAAAGAAGATTTTAATTTGTTAACTGATTTTCAATCTCTGAATTGACTGACTTTATTGGAGAAGGCCCCAACACTGTGATGTAAGAAAGGTAGAACGGTATCCTACTTGTGACAGTTCGAGGTTGGAGACCAGGAGGGACTGGCCCAGCAGTCGTACTGACTTCGTCTCCACTGTAAATCCATGACGCACAGTGGAAGGTTTCTGTGTAGAAACCCTTATCTCCAAGGTCCTTTGCTGCCATGTCAACAGAACGATTCTCTTCTGAAATTCCTACACAGTGACATAAGCACACATAGAATGGCATGACATGACATGACATAACATTACACGACTAGTTTTCAGAAACTAGTTTTCTGTTGATGACTTACAGTGGGGAAAAAAAAGTATTTAGTCAGCCACCAATTGTGCAATTTCTCCCACTTAAAAAGATGAGAGAGGCCTGTAATTTTTATCATAGGTACACGTCAACTATGACAGACAAATTGAGAAATTAATTCCAGAAAATCTCATTGTAGGATTTTTTATGAATTTATTTGCAAATTATGGTGGAAAATAAGTATTTGGTCACCTACAAACAAGCAAGATTTCTGGCTCTCACAGACCTGTAACTTCTTCTTTAAGAGGCTCCTCTGTCCTCTACTCATTACCTGTATTAATGGCACCTGTTTGAACTTGTTATCAGTATAAAAGACACCTGTCCACAACCTCAAACAGTCACACTCCAAACTCCACTATGGCCAAGACCAAAGAGCTGTCAAAGGACACCAGAAACAAAATTGTAGACCTGCACCAGGCTGGGAAGACTGAATCTGCAATAGGTAAGCAGCTTGGTTTGAAGAAATCAACTGTGGGAGCAATTATTAGGAAATGGAAGACATACAAGACCACTGATAATCTCCCTCGATCTGGGGCTCCACGCAAGATCTCACCCCGTGGGGTCAAAATGATCACAAGAACGGTGAGCAGAAATCCCAGAACCACACGGGGGGACCTAGTGAATGACCTGCAGAGAGCTGGGACCAAAGTAACAAAGCCTACCATCAGTAACACACTACGCCGCCAGGGACTCAAATCCTGCAGTGCCAGACGTGTCCCCCTGCTTAAGCCAGTACATGTCCAGGCTCGTCTGAAGTTTGCTAGAGTGCATTTGGATGATCCAGGAGAGGATTGGGAGAATGTCATATGGTCAGATGAAACCAAAATAGAACTTTTTGGTAAAAACTCAACTCGTTGTGTTTGGAGGACAAAGAATGCTGAGTTGCATCCAAAGAACACCATACCTACTGTGAAGCATGGGGGTGGAAACATCATGCTTTGGGGCTGTTTTTCTGCAAAGGGACCAGGACGACTGATCCGTGTAAAGGAAAGAATGAATGGGGCCATGTATCGTGAGATTTTGAGTGAAAACCTCCTTCCATCAGCAAGGGCATTGAAGATGAAACGTGGCTGGGTCTTTCAGCATGACAATGATCCCAAACACACCGCCCGGGCAACGAAGGAGTGGCTTCGTAAGAAGCATTTCAAGGTCCTGGAGTGGCCTAGCCAGTCTCCAGATCTCAACCCCATAGAAAATCTTTGGAGGGAGTTGAAAGTCCATGTTGCCCAGCGACAGCCCCAAAACATCACTGCTCTAGAGGAGATCTGCATGGAGGAATGGGCCAAAGTACCAGCAACAGTGTGTGAAAACCTTGTGAAGACTTACAGAAAATGTTTGACCTGTGTCATTGCCAACAAAGGGTATATAACAAATTATTGAGAAACTTTTGTTATTGACCAAATACTTATTTTCCACCACAATTTGCAAATAAATTCATTAAAAATCCTACAATGTGATTTTCTGGATTGTTTTTCCTCATTTTGTCTGTCATAGTTGACATGTACCTACGATGAAAATTACAGGCCTCTCTCATCTTTTTAAGTGGGAGAACTTGCACAATTGGTGGCTGACTAAATACTTTTTCCCCCCACTGTATATATAATTGGTTCCGGTATTCCAGAAAAGTAAAAGTGATAGCATCTCCCATAAATAACCACAACTACAACATGTTTAGTTCATGGAGTTCTGTTTTATTTTTTAAAAGCGGGTGCATTTCATCTTTCGCCTTCGTCAAAGCTTGCTTTTTTGTGGGGCGTGTATGGCACCTTTCTTTGTGGGAACATAGGCCTTCCGTCAGCAGGTGCAATCTGAAAAACACAACGAATAGTAAAGGAGGTGGATTTGTTGTTGTGTTTTTTTCCAGATTGCACCTGTTGACAAAGGTCAAAACACATAAGCTTTTTGAAATAAAAATGAGCATGAAGTGAAAACATTGTTGTTGTGCTGATTTATGGGAGATACCATCACCTTCCCTTTTCTGCAATACCTACAATGGATTTACAGTGACTATACCCCAATCACCCCCATTGTGGAAAAACCTCTGGTATCGCCGACATGCCTAAATTTACAACTTATATCATATTCTGCCTCCTATTCATACAGTTCTGATCTCCTTGTTATGTCTGGTCATAGCAATAAAGGCATACCACTCAATATCTGTGTTGTGGCTGGTTATAGACCAACTAATTAAAGCTGTCTGGTTCTAGATTAGGGGATATTAGAGTGCATACCTGACTCTTCATTGATGCTGCTGGTTATGGAGCTTCCCCCTGTAGAGCTCCACTGCTTGCTGTCCTTGAAGAGATTCCGTCTCTTAGCCCAGTGCTCGGCGCCACTGTCCTTGACCTCTAAGGAGGCTGCAAAAAATAAATAAAGGATACTCATATGAGAACACTTTCTGACCTCCTATGTCATCTAAACCAAATGATGGAAACTGGATTGTCCCTCTGGGACATGTGGGGATTTGAAATCAATGTCTTAGGCTATGATTAGTGAAAAACTTGAGATTGGTACAACTCACATTTGGAAAACACTTTCTTTTTCCGCTGTAGAATCTGTCTGATATAGCTTGGGCTTCTGCTTGCTTTCTGTCTCTTGGTCTTGGGATTCATGAGCTGGACTGGGTGCAATTTCCATGCCTGAATCCTCTACAATCTTGTATTTTGGATGATATTCTTTCCCCTCCTCGATCTGTGAAAGAGCAGGGCTGGAGATGCTAGCTCGTACAGTAAGAGACCTTTGAGGGGTTAGTCTAACTTCCTCTGTAGCTTCACTTGCGATTCCTAAGTCCATCTCCATGTCCAGGATGGGGAACACAGACGGTGCCTCTGGGGTTATGTTGAAGGTGTCCCAGTGGGGACTATTCAGAGCTGCGCTCTCTGCTAGTTTGGAGTCACTCTGCTGGAACCTATGCTCAGTACTTCCTGTTGTTATGGCCATGACCGATCCTCTTCGCCGCACGGATTGAAGATCTGAAACGGAACTCTCTTGGGATGACAGTTTGGGAGGGGAGGGAGGGCAGACCTGAATGAGCATGTCCCTCTGAGTGAGCTCCTCCATTGTGGGATCTAGGCTGAGGTCCTCCACTTCCCCCATGTCTTCATCAAAGCCGCTCTCGGCCACCTCGATCTGCTCCACTCCAAAAGCCATGTCCGCCAATGCATTCCCTCCAAAGTCCATGTCGGGTCTTCTGCGGTCTTCACATGGTAGGTGCCTTGGCTCTGGTAACTGGAAGACCTCCTCTGAGGTCTCCTCGGACGTAGATGCGTATAACGGATTGATCAGTTGTTGCTGTGGCTCGAGGTGGCTGTTTGCATTGCTGGAGCTGGGTCTGTAACTGCAGCTGCTTCGGGAGGATTTACGACTCAATGCACTAAAGGGACAAAGCCTCTCGTCTTCCTGGTAGTCTGCTGTCAGTCTGCTCAGTCTCTCTGCTTGGAGCGGAAGAGACTCCGTAATGTACGAGGAGATGGTGCCAGATGAAAAGGACTCCCTTCCCTCCCACGAAGGTAGGCCCTCCTGCAATTGACTTGGTTCTTCTTTCACTCCAGGGAAAGTCCGTCGCCTCTTCGTCGGCTTTTGTAGATAACTGGACGATGAGCAGCTTTTGCATTCTACAGTAGCTATGCTATTGTTACGCATCTGGGTCTTCATCTCGTGGTTTTTGATGAAGTCTTTGGTGTAACTGGACCTGCTCACTGACAATGGTGGTCTCATGAACATGGGTTCGTAGTTGTCTGATTCTGATACGCTGTCGAAGAAAGATGCCAAATGGGCACTGTCTTCACCATCGGGTGAGTAGGGGCAGCCAGAGTCTTTATGGTACCTCATGGAGGGTGGTGGACTGAACACCCCTTGCTGTTTGTCCATAGTACCACAAGCTCCAATCTGACAGGAAGCTATGTCTTCGGTAAGGTCTGCCAGGGGGTCATATTTACAGTCGGAAAACTCACGCGGTGGGGGAATGTCACACAGTGCATCTGTGCTTTTCCAGAAGTCAGACAAAGGGGATGGGCTAGCGGACCCACCTGCCAATGTGAAGTCGGTGGCATTGTTGCTGGGCGAACGGTGAAAAGTGAACTGATCATCACAGCAGCTTGACGCAATGCTATGTCTTGCTGTGACCCCTGCATCCTTGCTGCTTTCTGGAACGCTAAATTCGTAGTTGTGCTTCCTGTTTTGACTCTGCACTGTGATGTTTACATTTGGGTTTAGAGTCCATGACTGCTGAATTAAGTTATTATTTGGACTGAGTCTCTTCTCACGTTGACTCTGGACACAAGGCTCTCCGGTAGCCACCTGTTGACTTTGGAACACATATACTGTCTTGATCCCTGAGTTCTCGGCCTGTAGAATTTCTTGAATTTCAAACTTCACGTTCGAGCCAATGTGAGAGTGCTGAAAGATGATTTTTGAAGATGAGGGTTGCAAATCGTCAATGGTTACAAAAGTTGTGAATTTCACCCCTCTGTCTTCGTCCCCTTGCTTTGCGATGCTAGGTGGCCTTTTGTTTCGAGAGGACTCCCCATGACCGTCTCGCCTGACTTTTTTCTCTTTGCTTGGAATCTCACTGTATTTTCCCTCTTCATCAGAGGCTGACAAAACATTTTCTTTGCGTAATGACTCAATCTCTCCCTTCTCAGTGATGTCATCCTGGGAAACCACACTGTTACTTTTGTTTTGTTTTTGAAAAACGCATTGAGAGGCACTCTCTGTAAGGAAGAAGAAAATGAATACGCCTTTACATTTTAGGAATGCAGACATAGAAATACTAAATGGCCTACATCAAAAACTACAACAACAACTATTAAGACATCTGTATGGCCACAATCCCCTAGCATGGATATCACTGCACAAGACAAGCTATGAGACTCAGGAACGAAATCTCTCAAAAGGTATCTAAAAGGTTGATCCCTTCTATGTACCCTGAGATTGAATTGATTAATACATAGTGCAGTGAGGATAGTGGTTGAATATTTTCCAACTCTTGCATTTGGTGTAAAGCTTAAAGGCTTTGTGGCTGCTGAGCCCTCCCCATATACACTACTAACCCTTTTCTGTGACACATTTCTCTCAAGCTGAATTTGACAAAATGGTACCTTATTACAATGTTTGGGATTCATTCCAAGATGTCGCCTCTTGGCCGTTGTCCGTTAGCTGTGGTTACATAGACAAGACCACAGTAATCCTCACCTGCTCCGATTGGCCAAACATTGGCAGGCTTAATAGTGAAGGTGTGGGTGCATGGGCCGGGCGTGACTCAGCCAGCCATGTCAGGATTAACCCCATTTCTCTAAAGGATCCACCCCAATAACCTCCACTCACGTTTACTGGTGGTGGAGCTCTTCCTCCTCCGACTGTTCCTCCTCCTGCTACCGCGGCGACTCATTCTTCGCTAGGCCTCAGCCTCCAACCTCCCATACACTGTAACAGACAATTAGAAAATCATGAACAACTTTATTGTTCATTGGCTGTTTAACCCAATGAGTCCCATCGTGATGGACTTCTAACCTCTTTTAAACATTGTGTGTTTGACTTCTGGGTTGTGCCATTGGATTCGTCTATTTCTTCTGCATCCGTTGGTACCAACCAAGTCTGTGTGATTAAAGAGGGCTGAGCTAGTGTGGTGTTTCTGAGACAAGGGCGGATTCCGAAATGGCACGTGATCAGGTATTTTTACAAAAACGTCTGTAGAGTCCGAATGGCACATGGAACATGTTGAGCTCTATGACACTCACAAGCTACACAAGAGTTGTTAGACGGTCAAGGGTTCTTCTACATAGAAGACCATAGGAAATCCCAGGACATAGTGTCTATAATACTGTAAGGGGTTCTTCTACATAGAAGACCATATGAAAATCCCAGGACATAGTGTCTATAATACTGTAAGGGGTTCTTCTACATAGAAGACCATAGGAAATCCCAGGACATAGTGTCTATAATACTGTAAGGGGTTCTTCTACATAGAAGATCATAGGAAATTCAAGGACATAGTGTCTATAATACTGTAAGGGGTTCTTCTACATAGAAGACCATAGGAAATCCCAGGACATAGTGTCTATAATACTGTAAGGGGTTCTTCTACATAGAAGATCATAGGAAATTCAAGGACATAGTGTCTATAATACTGTAAGGGGTTATTCTACATAGAAGACCATAGGAAATCCCAGGACATAGTGTCTATAATACTGTAAGGGGTTCTTCTACATAGAAGATCATAGGAAATTCAAGGACATAGTGTCTATAATACTGTAAGGGGTTCTTCTACATAGAAGATCATAGGAAATTCAAGGACATAGTGTCTATAATACTGTAAGGGGTTCTTCTACATAGAAGACCATAGGAAATCCCAGGACATAGTGTCTATAATACTGTAAGGGGTTCTTCTACATAGAAGACCATAGGAAATCCCAGGACATAGTGTCTATAATACTGTAATAAGCTCACATATTTGCCGTCACAATCTCCAAACTCCACACAGTTGTCACTGACTAGTTGGATATTTGTTTCCCACTGAGCAAACAATTTCTGTATAAATGCATTTCTATCAGGTTTGGCTGACCTTATTTTTTTATTGACATTTGTTTATGTCAAATTGTTTTTCTATTCTACTTGTAGTCCTGGTTGTCCTGAAAATAAAATGGTAAAACACTTCACTGTAAGGCTAAATAAAATGGCTGGACATGCAGATACATTAAAGTCAGATAAATAAAAAGGCAATTTTTGCCGGGATCTCCGGACTGATAGAGTTAAAAGCAATAACGGAATGAACAGAGTTTGTATACTGTAGTGAATTCTGGGGGTAGCCCCGACCGGGAGTCGAACCCAGATCCAATGGCTGTCAACCCACACCTTAACCATTACGCTAAAAAATCTGAACGGATTGACAAACTCGCTAGGTGTTGAGTTAAGGTTGCCAAAATACTGATTATGATGGATACCAATCTCTGAGTGTTTGATTAGAATTGGAAAAAAAAAACAAAAAAAAACAATGTGTTATATCTACAGCAACTGTAGAGTTGGTATGGTTCTTGATAAAATGGCCGACAACTTCCACAACAATATATTATTATAAAGTAGTAGAAAACTGACAGAAAACTGTTTTCTGATGTGATCATGTTGCATATAGATATGTGATAGTTGGTGTGAAATCCTACCGTCATCTTAAATTGAGGCTTGATGTCCACTCTCTCGTGCTGGCATAGGAAATAGATATCTCCCTAATCCCTGATTATGCTCAGGTCCAAAATAACAGATTTATTCAACCTCTGAATGAGCCCAGAATTAAAAAAGCATCACAATTGATGCAAAGAGTTGATGTACCATAAATTAATTAATTTGAAAAATTGGCTTAATTTAGGTCAAACGGCTGTATGAGCTTGACATGAAAGTAATGTAATGTCATGTCATCTCACGTCATGTAATGTCAGCATTCGATAAGGATGTAATGTCGATAGTGATACACCAAAAAATGCACCAAAACATTGGACTCATTTTCAGATAAAACAAGAATTTCGATAAACGTTAACCATTGAGTATCCATGAGCCAACACCAGGAAAGAACAGATAGCCTTCACCGCCCATATGCACATTTTATACTTACCTGGCAATATCTATATATATCACTATTTCCAATCATACACAGCATGGTTGGAGTCAATTCCACTAATTCAATTCTAATTCAATTCTCTCTCCCTGTAAATTCCATTGAATTCAATTCCAGGTCAGTCTTTGCGTTCATATATAAGTTAATTCCTCTGAATTCCAATGTTAGGTCAATATTATCCCAAGCAATTCCACAAATTCAAATTCAATTCCCTCAGGCTTTCAGGCTGATCATGGCACTGTTCAGACTGCCTACTGTAGCTATACTGAAAATATAGGAATACAGGATAATATGATTAAAAACATATCCTACAATACATTTTTGATACTATGTGCATTCATTCCATTAACTGTGAAATGTAAAAATATTGAATTCCAATTCAATTCAATTCTAAAGATTTTATGTTTTTACAATTCCAATTCCAATTCAATTTCAATTCCATAACTTAAAATTCTAATTGCATTCAACGTAAATGCTCCACTTAATGAGTGAATTCAAGAATTGAATTGGAATTTCAAATTAAATTGCAATTGACCCCAACCCTTACACAGTAACATTTTACATGCTTTGCTGAATCAGTGATTCATTTCAATGGTAAGAAACCCATTTCCTCTACAGGATCCCAGATTCCCAATACACTCCATTTTATTCTCTGTGACAATTTTCAATGCCTTCCGTTACATTCTCAGGTGAGCTATGTGCATTCCTGGCATACGCCACCTATATCTCAGAGACACCGATGCAATGAACAACCAAGTAATTGCACTAACTTACCCCTGAATGAATATGTCCAGAAAGGGGATATTTTTTCGTTACAGAATAGTCTGTCAAGTTGAAGAGCATCAGTCATACAGGGGTATATCTTTCACAAAGACGCCACATGACGCGTGCACCTGAGACTGCTCCACTTCTTAATGTTGCTATTCTTGCAGCTAAAGCAGCTTAATGCATGTAATCTCATGAACCACTTGTGATGTCAGTGTGAAGCTAGTCTGTTCAGTAGCCTTTCTCTACGCATCACATCGTTAATAGAAGAGTGCTGTCACGCGTAGAAGCTGAAACTTTTCATTTAAACTAGACAGATCAGGACTAATCACCTGTATGGTGGCAATGAATGTGGGAAACATCAACTTTGGGGTCCGATTCATGACTATGGCTAGTTGAGGGTAAGGTCATTGATTGGCTCTGCTCCAGTCTCGACCAATCAAAACAGACATAAATAGGAAGTTATTGCAGACTTGTGACCATTGCAGAGCTCGCCAGTGTATAACTGAGTTGTAAATAAATGTAAATGAGTTAGAAATAATATCGTAATATATGTATATATATATATATATACTATATCTATACAACAGTATGTGGACACCCCTACACATTAGTGGATTCGGCTATTTCAGCCACAACGTGGCTGACAGGTCTATAAAATCGAGCGCACAGCCATGCAATCTCCATAGACAAACAGTAGAATGGCCTTACTGAAGAGCTCAGTGACTTTCAAAGTGGCACCGTCATAGGATGCCACCTTTCCAACAAGTCAGTTCGTCAAATGTCTGTCATGCTAGAACTGCCCCGGTCAATTGTAAGTGCTGTTATTGGGAAGTGGAAACGTCTAGGAGCAACAACACCTCAGCCGCAAAGTGGTAGGCCACACAAACTCACAGAACGGGACCGCTGAGTGCTGAAGCGCATAGCGCATAAAAATCGTCTGTCCTCAGTTGCAACACTCACTACCGAGTTCCAAACTGCCTCTGGAAGCAACGTCAGCACAATAACTGTTAGTCGGGAGCTTCATGAAATGGGTTTCCATGGCCGAGCAGCCGCACACAAGCCTAAAATCACTATGCGCAATGACAAGCGTCGGCTGGAGTGGCGTAAGGCTCGCCGCTATTGGACTCTGGAGCAGTGGAAACGCGTTCTCTGGAGTGATGAATCACGCTTCACCATCTAGCAGTCCGACGGATGAATCTGGGTTTGGCGGATGCCAGGAGAACGCTATTTGCCCTAATGCATAGTGCCAACTGTAAAGTTTGGTAGAGGAAGAATAATGGTCTGGAGCTGTTTTTCATGGTTCGGGCTAGGCCCCTTAGTTCCAGTGAAGGGAAATCTTAACGCTACAGCATACAATGACATTCTAGACGATTCTGTGCTTCCAACTTTGTGGCAACAGCTTGGGGAAAACCCTTTCCTGTTTCAGCATGACAATGCTCCCGTGCACAAAGCGAGGTCCATACAGAAATGCTTTGTCGAGATTGGTGTGGAAGAACTTGACTGGCCTGCACAGAGCCCTGACATCAACCCCATCAAACACCTTTGGGATGAATTGGAACGCCGACTGCGAGCCAGGCCTAATCGCCCAACATCAGTGCCCGACCTCACTAATGATCTTGTGGCTGAATGGAAGCAAGTCCCTGCAGCAATGTTCCAACATCTAGTGGAAAGCCTTCCCAGGAAGAATGGAGACTGTTATAGCAGCAAAGGGGGGACCAACTCCATATTAGTGCCCATGATTTTGGAATGAGATGATCGCCGAGCATGTGTCCACATACTTTTGGCCATGTAGTGTATATTTATTTAAATTCCATCACTTGATGTTTCATTTCATTTATTCTCGACTGTGCGATTTCTATCCGCCTCACTCTCAGAGAAATAAGTAGTACTGCTTTAAATTTGACATTTTAGTGATTTAGCAGATGCTCTTATCCAGAGCGAATTACAGTAAGTGCATTCATCTTAAGATAGGTGAGACAACCACATATCACAGTCAAATATACAGGATACAAACATTCCATTCCAGCTAAACAATGGATCTGTAGCGTTTTGCAACAAAATACATTTTCGTACACATCTAAATGCTATGAATAAAAAATCTGAGAACAGTAATATTGTAAGCACACATGAAGGTACCCATAGGCAATCATTTCTGATGAGAAAAAACACAAATGTGAAAATCAACTCAAATGTTATTTGTCACATTGTGACGAATACAATGGGTGTAGACTTTACAGTAAAATGCTTACGAGCCCTTCCCAACGATGCAGGTTAAAAGATAATAACAAAAATAGTAACACAAGAAGAATAAAATACACAAGAATGGAGCTAAATACAGGGAGTACCATTACCAGATCAATGTGGATCTATATACAGGGAGTACCAGTACCAGATCAATGTGGATCTATATACAGGGAGTACCAGTACCATATCAATGTGGAGCTATATACAGGGAGTACCAGATCAATGTGGAGCTATATACAGGAACTACCAGTACCATATCAATGTGGAGCTATATACAGGGAGTACCAGTACCAGATCAATGTGCAGCTATATACAGGGAGTACCAGTACCAGATCAATGTGCAGCTATATACAGGGAGTACCATATCAATGTGCAGCTATATACAGGGAGTACCATATCAATGTGGAGCTATATACAGGGAGTACCATATCAATGTGGAGCTATATACAGAGAGTACCAGTACCAGATCAATGTGGAGCTATATACAGAGAGTACCAATACCAGATCAATGTGGAGCTATATACAGGGAGTACCATATCAATGTGGAGCTATATACAGAGAGTACCAGTACCAGATCAATGTGCAGCTATATACAGGAGTACATACCAATAATGGAGCCTAAGGATACAATCAATGTGGAGCTATATACAGGGAGTACCAGTACCAGATCAATGTGCAGCTATATACAGGGAGTACCAGTACCAGATCAATGTGCAGCTATATACAGGGAGTACCAGTACCAGATCAATGTGCAGCTAAATACAGGGAGTACCAGTACCAGATCAATGTGCAGGGATACCAGGTATTTGAGGTAGATATGTACATAACGGCAGGGTAAAGTGACTAGGCATCAGGATAGATAATAATACGTTTTTTGAGGTAGATATGTACATAATCTACCCGGGCTCCCGAGTGGCGCAGTGGTCTAAGGCACTGCATCTCAGTGCTTGAGGCGTCACTACAGACCCCCTAGTTCGATTCCAGGCTGTATCACAACCGGCCGTGATTGGGAGTCCCATAGGGCGGCGCACAATTGGCCCAGCGTCGTCCGGGTTTGGCCGGTGTAGGCCGTCATTGTAAATAAGAATTTGTTCTTAACTGACTTGACTAGTTAAATAAAGGTTAAAAAGAAAGCGGCAGGGTAAAGTGACCTGGCATCAGGATAGATAATAATAAGGTACTTGAGGTAGATATGTACATAACAGCAGGGTAGTCCCTTGTAGAGCATGGTGTTTGCAACGCCAGGGTTGTGGGTTCGTTTCCCACGGGGGACTAGTATGAAGAAAAAATGTAAGTTGCTCTGGATAAGAGTGTCTGCTAAATGACTTAAATGTAAAGTGACTAGGCATCAGGATAGATTCAAAAATATATATATTATTTATTTAACCAGGTAAGCCAGTTGAGAACAAGTTCTCATTTACAACTGCGACCTGGCCAAGATAAAGCAAAGCAGTGCGATAAAAACAACAACACAGAGTTACATATGGAATAAACAAAACGTACAGTCAATAACACAATAGAAAATCTATATACAGTGTGTGCAAATGTAGTAAGTTATGGAGGTAAGGCAATACATAGGCCATAGTGCAAAATAATTACAATTTAGTATTAACACTGTGCAGAAGATGATGTGCAAATAGAGATACTGGGGTGCAAATGAGCAAAATAAATAACAATATGGGGATGAGGTAGTTGAGTGGGCTAATTTCAGAATGGCTGTGTACAGGTGCAGTGATCGGTAAGCTGCTCTGACAACTGATGCTTAAAGTTAGTGAGGGAGATAAGTCTCCTGCTTCAGAGATTTTTGCAGTTCGTTCCAGTCATTGGCAGCAGAGAACTGGAAGGAATGGCGGCCAAAGGAGGTGTTGCCTTTGGGGATTACCAGTGAGATCTACCTGCTGGAGCGCATACTACGGGTGGGTGTTGCTATGGTGACCAATGAGCTAAGATAAGGTGGGGATTTGCCTAGCAGTGATTTATAGATGACCTGGAGCCAGTGGGTTTGGCGATGAATATGTAGTGAGGGCCAGCCAACGAGAGTGTACAGGTCCAAATGGTGGGTAGTATATGGGGCTTTGGTGACAAAACGGATGGCACTGCGATAGACTACATCCAATTTGCTGAGTAGTGTGTTGGAGGCTATTTTGTAAATGACATCGCCGAAGTCAAGGATCGGTAGGATAGTCAGTTTTACGAGGGCATGTTTGGCAGCCTGAGTGAAGGAGGCTTTGTTGCGAAATAGGAAGCTGATTCTAGATTTTACTTTGGATTGGAGATGCTTAATGTGAGTCTGGAAGGAGAGTTTACGGTCTAACCAGACACCTAGGTATTTGTAGTTGTCCACATATTCTAAGTCTGACCCACAGAGAGTAGTGATTCTAGTCGGGTGGGCGGGTGCAAGCAGCGTTCGATTGAAGAGCATGCATTTAGTTTTACTAACGTTTAAGAGCAGTTGGAGGCTACGGAAGGAGTGTTGTATGGCGTTGAAGCTCGTTTGGAGGTTTGTTAACACAGTGTCCAATGAAGGGCCAGATGTATACAAAATGGTGTCGTCTGCGTAGAGGTGGATCTGAGAGTCACCAGCAGCAAGAGCGACATCATTGATATACACAGAGAATAGAGTCGGCCCGAGAATTGAACCCTGTGGCACCCACATAGAGACTGCCAGAGGTCCAGACAACAGGCCCTCCGATTTGACACATTGAACTCTATCTGAGAAGTAATAATAATAATAATAATAATAATAATAATAAGAGTAAGAGTGTGTGTGTGTGTGTGTGTGTGTGTGTGTGTGTGTGTGTGTGTGTGTGTGTGTGTGTGTTGTGTCGGTGTGTGTGTGCGTGTGTGTGCGTGTTGTGTCGGTGTGTGTGTGTGTGTGTGTGTGTGTGTTG